GGTTGTCGTCTGTAGTAGCTAAATAGTATTTTTGCCATTTAATATTCACATACACTAGTCCATATCGCGGTTTGATTGAAGTGTACTGAATTGCATTTGATTTATTCATTCAATATTTGATGAATTCCGTGACATTGCTCGTTACACAGTAAACTTCTGTTGTGTAGCATTTTGAATGCACAAAAATTAAAGGGTTTGTTTAATTTTCATTGGAATAAAAGACAGATTCATGTTTTTGCCTTCATTTGATTACCAGAAAAATGAAAATACACAACACAGAATTTCTAAAAAAAGAAGTAAATAAAATTAAAATTTCATAGGGCCCTATTATTGTATACAAATTAATAAATTAAGTTGTTTTTATGAATTCAATTAATTAGATATGTTTTTGATTAAACCATTAAAATGAAATACAGAAACATTAAAATGGAAAGCGCAGAATTTGCGCCCTAAGAATGTAATTCTTGTTAAACTTTTAATAGGCCTAAATTGCTGTTAAATTAAACAAGTTTCATGATTTTAATTAATTAGACATGTTTTTTTGTTAAAATTTTATATAATCATCCAGAAAAATTAAAACGAAAAAAAAAAAAACTGAATCCAGAAATGAAAAAGAATAAAAATAAATAAAAATAAATGTATATTTTAAAGTTTAGAATTAGACAGCCTTTCATTGTGTAGACAATTGCATAGTGAAAATTACCCCAATGCATCACCTAGGGTCCAACCTACTCTAATACTATTATAACCTGTTTAAATGTGAACAAGGGATTTACAACATTAAAGAAATCCTTTATTTATAACATGTACATGAAAAATCTAAAAGATTAGACACAACTATGGGACACGGTCGTGCAGCAGCGAGCAACAGTGAAAGGAACCTCAAGGTTGTAAATGTGTGAAATTGTATAGGGCCCCATTCCTGTATTTTGCCTGGGGCCCCCAAATCACTAAATCCGCCCCTGCCTGCTCCTCATTTCAGACGGCCGTGTGGGAATTTCACCCGAAAACTACAGCGTGACACCTCCAGCTCCACCTGCCCGCGCGCTCGAGGAGGAACTCCTGCTGACTGACTCATGTGCGGGAGGAGCGCTGAAGGTCACCACGCATTAAAGCAGCACTTCTCTCCCACTCCAGCCTGTCCTTGACTCATGTTTTCATCTGATCGAACGCCAGAACGCTTGACGGAGATCAGCAGCACCTGCTCACGTCCAGGTGGACGCAGAAAACCAGACCCACACCAGATCAGATCTGAGAGCTTTTTACCAGATTAACCTCCTCATAATCAATTTAACACCAATATTATTTAAAACATGCACTGCTGTTGAATCAGACAGAGTATATTCCACATGAAGCTGACATTTATGCTGTAAATCCCTAAAACTATGCATTTTTCCTGATTCTTTTATGATTATTCATCATCATAATTGAAAGACTATTTATTTGCACTTTTAGTTCATTTGTCACTGCAGGAGAATTTAAAGGGTGTCTCCAGTTACCTAAAATATACTTGCACATGCATATTCATTAACTTAAAATCTTGGTGTTGATTTAAAAATACAAACTCCATGCATATGTTAAATATGAGCTGAAATGGACTCTGAATGTCATTTTTACATTTTAATAGTTTCCTGCATGTTCGATACTTTTTTTAATGAAGTTTATGAAGACAAAAATACCTGAATGCATCATCCACAATAAATATTCAACATCCCTAAAAACTATATCAAACTGCATTTTTATTACTCATTATTATTCATATTTTTATTATTAATTATTATTCATATTAATTGACAGACTACTTCTTTGTACTTTTGTAAGTTAATTTGTCACTGCAAGAACATTTTAGAAACTTTCCAGTTACCTAAAATATACTTTCCGTCACGCATGCATGTACATTTTAACCTAAAATCTTGATTTTGGTTAAAAAAATAAACTCCATGGACACATTTTGCATCAACCATCCATGCATTTATTAAATATGAGCTCAAATGCACTCTGAAAGTCATTTTTACATTTTGTTTATGAAGACAATAATGTCTTCTTAATATGAATCATCCACAATATATACATGCTGACATGTTCTGCAGTGTCAAACTCCCTAAAACTATTTCAAACTTCATTTTTGTGGATTCTTTCATAATTATTATTCATGATTATCCATCATATTAATTAACGGACTACTTGTGTACTTTTAAAAGTACTTTTATCATCACATGAGCACTGAACAGGTGATTAGAAACTTTCTAGTTACCTAAAATACACACATGCATGTACATTTCAACCTAAAATCTTGGTGTTGATTAAAAACAATCTCCATGAACACATTTTGCATCAGCTACCCATGCATATATTAATATGAGCTGAAATTAACTTTGAAAGTCATTTTTATATTTTAATAAAAGTTAATGAATGTCTTCTTATAATGAATAATCCACAATATTCAGTAAGGTTGGCCTAAGTAAAACTGGTTTTGACTGTTATAATCTTCAATATGAGATGGTAAACAAGCATGCAAAGACTCGAGCTGGGCTTCATTTCTCAATCTTCTCAAGGAAGAGCAGATGAGATGAAGTTGTGAAGATGAAGATGCGTTGGAGTCTGTTTATCTCCACACTGACCTCGACGGTGCCATAAAACACTGAAGGCACCAGTTCTCCCTCTTATCACTCTGCCGAGCATGAAATACTTTCAACACGATCGCTGCGTAACACAAACGCGCTGGACGTTTCCACACAATTCACAGAAACGCTCAGGAATGCACAACCACAGACGACTCTTAAACAACAAGACACCAACCACAACAACGGCTGAATCATGCAGCACCTACACTGAGCCGCTCAGAAACAGAAATGAGAAACATCTAAGGCACGTCTGAAGAGCAGCAGAAGATGCAGGTGAAAAGGAATGCATGTACAAAAATAGAGAGCAGAAAAAAAACAAAACACAAACCCGTTTTACTTCAATAATGTGACATATTTCTGAGCAAAGCTGTAGGTTTTATTACTTGATCTAAAATGTAAGAAGGACGAATGACATCTGCTGAAATTGAATGTTTTTATACTTTAATAAAAGAGACAAAAAGTCTTCTTAATACGAATTGTCCATAATAAATCCAGGATGTGCATGAAGTCATGTTGACTTCAGTAATTCTAGTCCAGATGTTAAATAAACCTGGTAATGTATATTACGAATATTGTTGGCTCTATGTCAACATGCTTTGGTGCATTTTTGGATAAAAGCATCTGCTAAAATGCAACATAAATGTAACAAAGTCATAATCGATACAGACAAATGCACAACAGCCCAACACACATGAAGCTTCCTCACCGCATCTTGACTCTTGAAGATCATCACTAACATCACGGCAGCTGAAACAGTAAATCCATGTGAACGTGCACCAGCTGCGGGATATTTCTGACCCTCAATGTGACACACAGGGGTTTCAATTATTTTAGGTGAGGGCGAGCGCATGTGCGGGTGATTGTTCATCTGTATTTGTCTGTGTGTGTGTGTGTTGAGTGTGAGTGTGTGTGGGCTGTGAGAGTGGAATTGATTTTACAGCCTAACGCCCAACTGCATGTTTAACAAGTCTCTCAGTAGATCCTCTCTCCACGTCTCAAAGACTTCGCCAAATGCCTCACCGACCAGCAAAAACCCAGAAGCGGCGACACACAGACGTCAGGCTCTGCTGCATGCAGGTTTTTCCACTTCATTCACATTAAAGCACAACTAACCTTTCCATAAACAATTGAACACCAATATTATTTAAACACATGCGCTGGGAAAAACAGCGTTCAGATGTTGAATTAGATCTAGTATATTTGACATGTCCTGCGGTGGGACAGTGTAAAGCTAAAACAGCATTTTATAATTATTACTCATCATATTAATTCACTAATTATTTGTCTTTTTAAAAGTTAATTTATCACCACTAGAGCATTTAACAGGCAATTAGAAATCTTGGTGTTGGTTAAAAAATAAACTCTGTGGATACATTTTGCATCAACTACCCACACTGAAATGGACTCTACATTTTTACACTTTAATAAAAGACAAAAATGTCTTCTTAATATGAATCATCCACAGTAAATATTGGACATGAAGTTGACAACCTGTGGTGTGACAAACTTCCTAAAACCATGAGCGAAAACAGCATTTTATAATTATTATTCATCATATTAATTGACAGACTACTTATTTGCACTTTTAAAAGTGTATTTGTCACTGAAGGAGCATTTAATAGGCAATTAGAAACTTTCCAGTAACCTAAAACACACTTTTCCTTACACATGCATGTACGTTTTACCCTAAAATCTTGGCATTCGTAAGAAAAATAAAATGGACACATTTTGCAACAACTACCCATGCTTGTATTAAATATACCCTGAAATAGACTCTGAAAGTCATTTTTACATTTTTATATAAGTTCATGAAAACAAAAACTGTCTCATTTTCATGAAATGTCCACAATACATGAAGTTGACATCCCTTCAGTGTAACAAGCTCCCTAAAACTATGACCTAAAACAGCATTTTTCTGATTCTTTTCTGATTACTATTCATGATAATTCACCATATCGACGTTATTATTATTATTTTTAAGTTTATTTGTCAATGCAGCAGCATTTAACACGTGATTAGAAACCTTCCAAAAACCTAAAATACACACACGCATGTACATTTCAACCTAAAATCTTTTGATTGAAAACAAACTCCACGGTCAAGTTGTGCGTCAACTACCCATGCAATTTTAAACGGAATGTATTTTATAGTTCTCCCCGGTGCATATTTGGCAAATGCAGCGCTGCATTTCTGGCGCCCGTCCGAGAAATATTCTAAACATGAAATATGACGTACAGCAACGGGGGGTCAGACACAAACAGACACCAGTTAAACGCTGCCATCAGAACCGAACATGCGCAAAACAGCAGACAAAGATGGCAGTAAAGGCTGATACTCACCCTGAGCAGACGAGCGCAGCCACAGCACACCCAGCAGAAGCAGCAGTGGTATCCAGCGGGTCCCAACCGTCCGAACCTGAAGCTCCATCCCTGAGACTCGAGCCACCCGCCCGCACGAACAGGGCATGGAAACACACGCACGCACACGCTGCTCCCTCCACAGTTACTCCACACTGACGGCCGGCCTGCGATGGACAGAGAGAAAGAGGGTGTTACTCTCTCCCTGTATTTGGGACGGCCCCTCCGCTCCAGACACTTTTTGGAGAGACAATAAAAGCAGCAGTTGATCTCTGCGGTTTAGCCGGGACCCCAGCGGACCCTCCTCATGCCCCGCGCTGCTCACACACAGGGGAGGGCCATGCGCTGAAAGGAGGCCAGGGGCGGGAGGGGCGGCCGTGTGACCCCCAAAAACAGCCTCCAGCACTCGGTGGGCCGCCTGTGGGCTCAGAGTCACAGGACTACAGCGCCTGAACTCCTGCTGCACTGACAAACCAACACCAGTGGTTTAAAAGTCAGTCTGGATTGATTTATTAACTGGCACTAATTTCATGAAAACAAGTGAGTGGAGTTTGCCTGTGCAAAACTGGTTGCCAGGGTGTTGCTAAGCAACAAACAGGCAAACCAGCAACAAATACAAACCAGTTAGGATTAAAACAATCCGTGTCTTACATTTCCTAAACAAAATGTAAGCGGTGTTTGCCTGCGCAAAATGCACCACATTAATAATAGGGTGTTATGGGTGGTTGCCAGGGTGTTGCTAACCAACAAATGGACAAACCAGCGACAAATACAAACCAACTATAGTAGAACAAAATCAGTTAGGATTGTTTTAACTAGTCCTTCTAATTTCATAAAGAAAAAGTGAGTGGTGTTTGCATTGAGGGTTGTGGGTGGTTGCTAACCAGCAAACAGACAGACCAGCAGCAAATAAAAAAAAACAACCATTCAGTTAGGATCGTTTTAACTAGTCTCTTTTATTTTGTAAAGAAAATATGAAATGTTCGAATATGACAAATAGGGTGGTGTTGTTGCTAGTGTGTTCTGGGTAGTTGCTAGGGCATCTCTATACAGCTGCCATGGTGTTCTGAGAGGATGATACAATGTTACTATGCGGTTGCTAATCTGAAACATTAAAGTGTGACAAACATGCAAAAAAATAAGAAATCAGGAAGGGGGCCAACACTTTTTCACACCACTGTAAATGTAACAAATTATTATTATTATTAGTGATAAATGGCCTATGCTTAACAGCATTTTAAACTGCAACTGAAAAAACATCATAGTTTATGAAATAAATCTCCATGTAGTTTGACATCAAAAACACGAAAGCAAATGACACACCATGTATTCTCACTCAAAGTGCTGTAAGAACTAATTCCTGCCGGGTCGGTTAAGCATTTCCTCCTTTCCCCTGTAGGGTGCCAGCGGCTGATTGACAGCTCATTATGGCTGTGATAAAGAACACAAAGCAGCAGTGAAAACACACAAGAGCATAAAGAGTGCATGACAAAAGCCATTCACACATCAGGTGATGGCGGGACTCACCTCGGGCCGCGACACGCCCCCATCGCCCTAATCTCACCGACACATACAACTTAAGCCGATTAAGAGTTAGTGCCATTACTGAGATTCACATGAGAAATGAGCAGAACTTCACATGTTCAGCAGATCAGGCCGCTGAAGAAAGTGATCAGACGTGCCTGCTGGACCTGAAAACAGGTGAAAAAAATTCACATCTAGAGACCAGAAGATCACAGAGACTCGAGGGTGCAGGACACTTTACATAAAGATGAATATTGGATATTTTCTTTGATCAATATTCATACTTTTCTACTCAAACAGTTACTGGTTCCCTAATATTGTGTATTGTGTCTACCAAGAAATTGCAAAATCTTGGTCCAAATTTCCTTTTGGAAACATTTCAATTCATCATAATTGACTTAGTTTGTCAACATTATTATAAGTAGTAGTAGTAGTATTAATCATAATAATGAAATAATTAATTAATATTATTATTGTTGTTTTTGTTAAATAAAATAATAATAAAAATATAAAAACACATAGCGCATAAATAAAACACACAAATAAAATAACAACAATAAAATACATAATAATTGTTGTTGTTGCTGCTGACAACGTTGTTAGTAATAGTATTAGTACTATTAATAATAAAAATAACAATTGTTGTTTATTATTATTATCATTATTTATTACTATCTTTATTATTTGTGCCAAAAAGTTTAAATAAAACAATTACAATAACAATAATGATAAAACACAATAATAATAATTTAAAAAATAAATGAATAAATATTAACACACATTGCATTTTTTTTGTTGTTGTAATCTATTACTATTATGTTTATTAATGTTTATAATTAGTGTTAATAATATTAATGATAAACATTAATATTATTAATGTTTATAAATTTTGCCAAACAGTATAATACAACAATAATTAAAATAATAATAATAATAATAATAATAATAAATCAATTTTACACAGAGACAATATTAAAATAATCAGTGTTGGTATCTGTCATAAAATTTCGGTCAATCTCTACTAAGTAAATTAGCACCTTAACATCTGCAAGGCAACATTCTTATTTACTTCAGTAAATGTAAATCTAAATAAAATATAAAATTCCATATGAATATGAATGTATTTTATTAGCATTATTCCCGCACTGTCACTCTCCTCTGACGCATGTACCACAGTAACCTCGATCTGAACTCAAAGATGAGATCTTAAACTCAGCGATCAATCACCACACATTTCCTCCGACGCTCCACACTTTCCTCTTTCTCCGGCTGTGACGCTGTGAAGGCGGGAGTAAATGAGTGTGTGTGTGTGTGTGTGTGTGTGTGAATGGATGTTTGTGGATGAGCTAAAAACAAAGAGAAAGTGAGAGCGGGAATAATAGTGTGGGCTGCTGGGAGTTCAGTGGGGCGGCAGTGATGTGACTGTGGCACTGGCGCTGTCAGCGCTCGTTTGGTGTGATTACATGCGATCGGGGCGAGCTCTCGGGAAGCTGTGAGTAGGTCAGGCCTGCTCACACACTGGCCGCGAGCTCCATCAAACGCCCAGCGTGAGGCCCGCTGCTGAGAAATGGGCCGTCTGGGGGAAAGAGGGCTTTTTATGCTTAAGAAATACTAGGAATATAGGACACAAGTCATACGGATTGTTTCTAAGCTGCCTTTACTTTCGTCATGTTTGGTCTGCTTCTACTACATGAAATAAAATAGTATGAAAGTTCTGCTAAATGTCTCCTTTTGTGCTCTACAAAACACAGAGAGTTACACAGATTGGCAATGGCGTGAAGGTAAATCATTATTTTTGGGTGAACTATCCATTTAAGTGGTTTTATTATAGTTGGAACTATAATTAGCCAACAAACCCTTGGGCAAAACACACAAAAGCTGCAGCTAGTGTTCCCTCACGGACATGAGAAAAGCCAAGAGGTTCAGAGTCTGTGTGGATTTACGGCCAGACGACTCTGTCGCTCACACGCAGCTGGAAAATCTGTGAGACAACCGCAAAACTCACGACTCAAGGGAGGAACAAAGGACAAGCAGTCGCGATGGCACAGACTCTTGAATTACAATGTTCAATGTACAATTACATTACAATGTACAATGAGCGATGTTCCGCCTGCCACTGTGAAATTTCAACAGGGATGGTTTTATTATTGTTGGAACTATAATTAACCAACAAACCCTTGGGCAAAACACACAAAAGCTGCAGTTAGCATTCCCTCACAGACATGAGAAAAGGCAAGAGGTTCAGAGTCTGTGTGGATTTACGGCCAGACGACTCTGTCGCTCACATGCAGCTGGAAAATCTGTGAGACAACCGCAAAATTCACGACTTAAGTGAGGAACAAAGGACGCGGGCATAAGCGGTCGAGATGGCACGGACTCTTGAATTACAATAGCGGCTGACGGAATGCGATCCGTGAGCGATGTTCCGCCTGACAGCGACTCTGACCCCTGCCACTGTGAAATTTCAACAGGGGATTTTCTGCCGCGCTTTTTTTCCTCCGCCTTCAGCGGTCGTTGAGAGTTCGGTCACGGAATCTAGGAAAGGCATTCCACTTCCTATGAGCCAACAGCTGCACACAGGTGGGAAACCCAATCGGATCGCAGCACCCGATGCCATTAGACCATCGGCATCTCCGGACCATCCTTCAGCTCTCAACACCTCCTGATCTGGAGGTGTAATTTGTAATACAACTAAGTTTTCTGAAATGTTTAAATATGCAAATGAGGCATTATCTAATTAAACATGCACTAACACAAATTTCCAGAAAATTAATATGAATATTACATCAAGCCAGGTTCAAAATTCTTGTTTCATTATGTTGTTATATTAGATTTAAAGGTTTTTATAGAGGGGTCTTTTGATATCTCTTTTTATCACTGCATAAATCACAAAATACTGTCAAAAGTCAGAAATAAGACATTTTCACCATGTTTTTATGAATAAAATGTATAAAGCCAGGCAAATGATTTGTGAACAAACCCCTCAATAAAGAGATATGTATTGTAACTTTAATCTACAGATGCACAAAGTTAAAGTGCAATAATAAAATCAGGCAAATGATGTCAACAAGCCTTTAAAGATATGTATTGTAATTGAAATTTACAGACATAAATAGATAAAGTGCAAAAATAAAATCATGCAAGTGATATATGAACAAACCCCTCTATAAAAACCTTCTTTATATATAAAGGAATAAAACTGTAAATTTTGGTGTATGTAAGTGTTACTGAAGTGGAGAAAAAACGTATTTTGGGAAAACGGCCTTTAGGGATATGTTTTGTAACTTAAATCTACAGACGCAAAAAGTGAAAGTGCAATAATAAAATCAGGTGAATGAAATATGAACAAACCCCTCATTAAAAACCTCCAGAACATAGAAAAACTGTAAATTTTGGTGTATGTAAGTGCTGCTGAAGTGGAAAAACAAACTCATTTTGAGAAAACAGCCTTCAAAGATATGTATTGTAATTGAAACCTACAGACAAGTGCAAAAATAAAATCATGCAAATGATATATAAACAAACCCCTCTATAAAAACCTCCAGAATATAGAAAGGAATAAAACTGCAAATTTTGGTGTATGTAAGTGCTGTTGAAGGGGAGAAAAAACTCTTTAACACTAGAACTACCAAGGCAGTCATTT